CGCGGGGAACCCAGATGATATGAGACCCAGAACGAGGCAGACACAAGGGGAATACAAAATAACAGTGTTTATTATTTACAGTGAGATTAAATCACATCCACTGGCTGCTGGTCTGAGGCTCCTGGAAAGAGGGACGACAGGTTAATGGCTGTCCAACGGGGGAGGCTCAAGTTGATTTTAAGGAATGTGTTTTATCCTTACAGTCCAACCCGAAGGGAGAGCTGGTCCTTCAGTCCAAGGCGAGCGAGCAGCAGAGGGGAATCCAACAAAGTCCAAAAGGGGAACGAGGAAGGCTGGCACTGGAGGCAAAGAGGCACGAGGAACACCTGAGAGGCCTAGGATCCAAATCAGGTCACGAGGGAAATCCAAAGAGCACGAGGAACCAGGAAACTGGAAAAAAGAGCAGAAGGTGAACAAATTCTTTTCACCAAGGCATTTGCCTTACAACAGTACAATACCATAAGAGGTGATATGCTCCAGCGTTGAATCACACCGGACTGCAGCCTTAAGTAGATGGAGAGGCTCATCAGGCTGATGGCCGCCAGGTGTTGGTAATCAGCGGCCATCAGCAAGGCAGGCTGCAGGCAGTGGGATCCTTACACTTTGTAGATTTGGAGAAGTTGTTTGACTGCGTCCCTCGTGGAGCCCTGTCGGGGGTATTCTGGGAGTATGGGGTACCAGGCCCTTTGATACGGGCTGTTAAGTCCATGTACAAATGGTATCAGAGCTTGGTCCGGATTGCCAGCAGTAAGTTGGGCTTGTTCCCAGTGAGAGGTGGACTCCGCCAAGGTTGCCCTTTGTCATCGATTCTGTTCATAACTTTTATGGACAGAATTTCTAGGTGCAGCCAAGGTGTTGAGGGGATCCGTTTTGGGGGCCTTAGGATCACTTCTCTGTTTTTTTGCAGATGATGTGGTCCTATTGGCTTCATCAGGTCATGATCTACAGCTTTCACTGGAGCGGTTTACAGCCGAGTGCAATGCGGCCGGGATGAGGATCAGTTCCTCCAAATCTGAGGTTATGGTCTTGAGCCGGAAAAGGGTAGCATGCCCTCTCCAGGTCGGGGAGGAGGTCCTGCCTCAAGTGGAGGAGTTTAAGTATCTTGGGGTCTTGTTCACGAATGAGGGAAAAATTAAACGTGAGATCGATAGGCGGATAGGTGCAGCGTTGGCAGTGAAGTGGACGCTGTACCGGTCTGCCGTGGTGAAAAGAGAGTTGAGTGAAAAGGCAAAGCTCTCAATTTACCAGTCTATCTACGTTCCTACCCTCATCTATGGTCATGAGTTTTGGGTTGTGACTGAAAGAACGAGATCACGGATACAGACGGCCGAAATGAGTTTTCTCCTGGGCTCTCCCTTAGAGATAGGGTGAGAAGCTCGGTCATCCGGAAGGGACTCAGAGTAGAGCCGCTACTTTTCCACATCGAGAGGAGCAAGTTGAGGTGGCTGGGGCATCTGGTTAGGATGCCTCCTGGATGCCTCCCTGGTGAGGTGTTCTGGGCACATCCCACCGGGAGGAGACCCAGAGTAAGATCCAGGACACACTGGAGGGACAATGTTTCTCAGCTGGCCTGGGAACTCCTTGAGATTCCCCCAGAGGAGCTGGCACAAGTGGCTGGGGAGACGGAAGTCTGGGCCTCCCTACTTAGGCTGCTACCCCCGTGACCCGACCCCAGATAAGCAGAAGAAAATGGAGGGATGGATGGAAGTGGAGTGGAGGTGGACTTTTTAGAGGCAGACTAACAGGTCTTTGAGGGCCAGAATTGTTACTGATTGGCAGGTGTTCAAATACTTATTTGCAGCAGTAACACACAAATAAATTATTTAAAAATAATCATACATTGTGATTTCCGTTTTTTTCATTTTTTATATATGATGTCTCTCACAGTGGACATGCACCTAAGAAAAAAATTTCAGACCTCTCCATGATTTCTAAGTGGGAGAACTTGCAGAGTCGCAGGGTGCTGTGGTTCATTAAATATTTTTGCTAACAAAGTGCTTTTGGCAAAAGTTTAAACAAAGATCTAGCAGAATAGCTACCACCAGATTAATTTAAAATAAATATCAGTACATCTGAGTTATAGTCAATGGTTCATGAGATGCCTGATGACCTCAACAAGTTCTACGTACGCTTTGAAGACCTGAACAGACCACCCAGCACCAGACTCACCTCACCACCGGATGAAGAGCATCTCAGCATGACCTCAGCCATAGTGAGGAGTACTTTCAAAAGGATTAATTCTCACAAAGCAACTGGCCCAGACAACATCCCCAGGAAGGTGCTGAAAGACTGTGCCGATCAGCTCTGCGAGGTACTGCCCGGCGTCTTTAACTCCTCACTCACACTGGAAACAGTTCCCACCTGAAGACCTTCACCATCATTCCAGTCCCAAAGAGCTCTACAGGGACTGGCCTGAATGACTATCGGCCAGCAGCCCTCACCCCGATAGTCGCAAAATGCTTAGAAAAACCGGTCAAGGCCCACATCAGAACAACCATCAACATGAACGAGGACCCTCCCCAGTATGCATACCGCAAGAATCAGTCAACAGAAGATGCCATCTCCTCTGTGGTCCACACTGCTCTCACCAACCTGTAGCAGAAGGACCCCTATGTTCGTATGCTCTTTGTGGACTTCATGTCTGCATTCAATACCATGATCCCCCAAACCCTGATGGACAGTACTCACACAAGGACTAAGCCCCTCCATTTGCAACTGGGTCCTAGACTTCTTAATAAACAGACTGCAGTCTGTGAGGATCCACAACTTCTTCTCCTCCACCATAACCCTCAACACGGGCTCCCCTCAGGAATGTGTGCTGAGCCCTCTCCTGTTCACTCTGCTCATGTATGACTGTGCACCTACCCATCCAGGCTGCCATATTGTAAAGTTTGCAGATAATACAGTGATGGTGGGATATATCACAGAAAACAATGAGTCCAACTACAGGCAGGAGGTGGAAAACCTGGAGAGCTGGTGCAGGAAGAATAACCTTCACATCAATGTGATGAAGACGAAGGAGATGGTCGTGGACTTCAGAAGGAACAAGCACACCTACCCCCCATGAGCATAGGAGGATCTGCGGTGGAATTGGTCTCCAGCTACAAGTACTTGGATGTGCAACTTATGACAACCTCAGCTGCGGCAACAACACTACCAGCCTGACATGAGTCTAACAGTCTCAGGGTAGAAGCTGTTCCTCAGCCTAGTGGTTCTATACTTAATGGTTTATGATTAACTTTATGATTGGTCTATATACAAGTGGTGCAAGAGTTTGGTTCACATTGCCAATAAGTTAGATCCCTTCAGGGTGGGAGTTGGACTCTGCCAGGACTGCCCATTGTCACCAATGCTGTTCAAAACTTTCATGGACAGGTTTTTTCGGTTCTGCCAGGGGGCGGAGTGTGTTTGTTTCGGTGGCCTCAGGATTCCATTTCTGCTCTTTGCTGATGAAATTGTCCTGTTGGCCTAATCGTGCCATGATCTTCGTTTCTCACTACAGTGATTTGCAGCCAAGTGTGAAGTGACTGGGATGAGGATGAGCACCTCAAAATCTGAGGCCATGGTCCTCAGTTAAAAAAAGGGTGGATTACTTTCTTTGGATCAATGTTGAGGTTCTTCCTCAAGTGGAGGAGTTCAAGTATCTCAGAGTTTTGTTCACAAATAGGGAAGAATGGAGTGTGAGATTGACAGACACATTGACGTGGCCTATACAGTATTGCAGACTCTGTGCTAGTCTGTTGTGGTAAAGAAGGAGTGGAGCTGTAAAACAAAGTAGTACCACTAGTATCGGAGTAGAACCGCTGCTCCACAGCATCTAGAGGAGACAGTTGAGGTGGTTCGGGCATCTGGTAATGATGCTTCCTGGGCGCCTCCCTAAAGAGATGCTTCAGGTATGTTCCATTGGGAGGAGACCTTGAGGAAGATCCAGGATGCGCTGGAGAGACTATTGCCTCTTTTCCGTTAGTACCATTAGTACCGGTACAGCACGGTTCGACTTGGCTTGGCACGGTACGAGTTGTGTTTCCAATATACTTTCAGTAACGGTTCTAGTGGACGGGTTCAGAGTTCAAAACTGGACTTCACATGCCTTACCAGCTGGTGGTGGTAATGCTGGCATTAAGACCCTGAAACAGGTTTCAGTATAGGGTGAGATTTATTTAGAAGTTTCTGATGAATTGAAAATGGACTGCACTTATATAGCGCCTTTCTATCTGATCAAGATACTCAAAGTGCTTTACACTACAATCTGTGTCCTCATTTACCCATTCATACAGCTCTATTCTAGATCTCTACAAAGCTAATTGAACAAATCATTCTAAAGAGACTAATCAGAGCTTTAGATCACATTCATACACTGATGGGACACACATCAGAGGCTATGAGGGGTTCAGTGTCTTGCCCAGGGACACTTCGACATGTGACTGCTGGTGGATTCGAACCCCCAACTCTCGCATTGGAGGACGACTGCTCTAACCACTCAGCCACAGCCGCCCCTTACCCCGCCAAGTTACAACAGATGTCATCTCAGGGCACTGTACAAAAACATTTACATACATTGTGTGCAGTGTATGTCTTCTATCTTATTTTATTCTTCAAACAATAAATGCATATAATAATAAATATTCTATCAGTAATATCATGTGTCATGGTTTAAGAGAAAAATAAAAACAAGGATGATATTGTGTGATGAAATGGATAAAATTATCAAAACCAAAGCTGAAATGATGAGGAATTCAGATGAAATGTTTCATTTATTTATTTTTGTGTATTTAAATGTTTACATTTCACACACATTACAACACTTTTTAAAGAAACTCTTCTTTTTGTAAAAAACAAAACATTGAATCTGATGCAATGAACATTTTTCTAATTACCGGTAGTTATTTTTAAATCCTGACCAGAAGCGTAAAGGCTGGTCACTGCTGAGCAATGAACAGAAGGGACTGACACAGAATCACTACCATACATCTAGTGAATGACTGGCTGGGTTCTGGAGCTCAGGGCCAGTCGCAACACTTGCAGGCGTCATAGTAGATGAGACCAGGCTGGCAGCGGTGAAGGTAAGTATTCCCTTGGAAGCACTGGAAGTAGGAGGTCTTATCAGCTGAGTTCTCATACAGCCCATCAGGACGGCCATGACAAAAGTTTAAAATGGGATCCCTGGTGGTGGTGGGGCGTGGTGTGGTGGTGGGCTTTGGAGCAAACCCTTCACACAAGAACAGCATGGCATGTTCAGAGGCTGAAGAAACCTTATTCAAATATTCAAAAACAGGCTTTTCTAGAGATCAGAACTGAGAATATTTACCCATTGATGTCCTGAGGTGGTTGATCAATGGATAGGCTCCATCTGAGCAGAAGTACCCACTAAAGTCATCCATATCCAGAGTCCACACATGAGCCCCACCAAGCAAATTTCTGGTCAGCAACTGGACCTATAAATACACCCCATCGATGGCAGAATGATTGACAGGTCTGAGTTCATCATGAATGGAGACACAGAACCAGACAGAGCTCCTACCTTTGAGGAATAGCTGCGTTTGTCATCATAGCCCACCCAGGAAGTGCCATAAGTGGCATATGGAACCTCCTGCTCTGGGATCCAAGAATTTGTTGCACTGGGGAGGAAGTCACATACCTGGCAACACACAAGCATGAGTTAGAACAAACGCATGAAATGTGTTTTGAATATCATCATTTTGGTTCTATCTGGCTCTTCAAATGTGAAAGTTTCTCAGGATACAGATGTCAAGAAGTTGTACCTCAAAGTAGGACCAGAAACCTGCAGTGCGAGTATAGGGTCCAGCATCTGCAGGCCCGTTGGTTGGAGCGCCGAGGCCATTAGCTGATGTGGTCAAATGGTAGGTTCGTCCATATGTGGTGAAGCCCAAAAGCACCTTCTCACTTGGGGCTCCCAGATCCAGCCAGTGGGATACAGAAGAGTTCTGAGTAAAATATGTGATATTTCAACATGGACTCAGATCTAAAAAGCGTAACAGCACTGCAGATTCAGACTCATAGATGGTGTTTATGTGCCAGACAGGTTATTTTGACATCAGATAAAACTAACTAGAAACATTAAAATCTTTGAGTTTAATTTAAAAAAAGAAAAACTATCATTTGAAGATGGTGCAGTTTTGGATGTGTTGCTTCGTTTCTTACAATGTTGTAGTGCACATGTGTCCCAGAGTCAAGAGAACTGCGGTACAGTGGGCTGTGGTGTCCAGTTCTTGTCTCCCAATGTCCATGGAAGTCATAAGTCATGATGTTCAAGAAGTCAAGGAGACTAAAAAGACAGATGCAACATTTTAGGGTCAGTGAATGTCCAAACTTTGAATAAGCGTTTGATTAGTTATCCAAAATCCAAAAAAGGTGTTTCTCTTCATCATTTCATGTTGAAAGGTAATTTTATTGCATTTCTGAGGTTCAGTGCCAATTGGTGACTTGTGTTACCTAGAAACTATCAGATGATCTGAAGTTCCTATGGTCCACCACAAAGCGACCAGGAACCAGTTTGTCTTTACGTCTTTGTCTTTAGTGGACAGCAGAAATCAAACTTACGGAGCAATCTTGTTGACTTCGTATGCTCTGTCAATGGTTGCCCTGACTCCGGCAACATTGGCCGACAGCAGTAGCTTTGTCTTCCTGTTGTCTTTGGCGTCATCCTCAAAGGCTTTGGTCATCTCCTGCAGACAGAGCAGAGTATTTCATGCTTCTCAAGGTTACCATTACATTACTACAGGAGGTCCAGGCTGGGAGGGAAAAGCTGTTCCAGCTGAACTGAAGTTAGTTCAGATATTTATGATTGTGTTAACTTGGTTATCCAAACAAAATGAGGTTTTGTGTTGTTTGGGCACTGTTGGTGTATTTCTGCTATTGTAAAGCTGAAAGTTATGGACTTTAATAGACTTACCTCAGATTACTACGATCAAAGTTTCCTAAAGAAGAGGCTAAACCAAAGCTTAACAATATACTGAACCAGTTTTAGTGAACAGAAGCAGTAATGAGAGACGTGCTCACTGTGATCAGCAGAGTGAACCTCTCCTTGTCCTGTTGTGGGCTGCCATTGTGTCCAGGGTACTCCCAGGCCAGATTTAGACCATCAAAGTTATGAGCACGCAGAAAACTGATGGCAGACCTGATGAAGGCTGCACGACTCTCAGGTTTGACCACCATGGAAATGAAACTGTGAGATGAATGGATTAAAGTTTGACATATTTTGTTGGGAATTCAGTATTTTGGACTAGTGAAATGTGTGAAAATCTGTGATGAACTTACGGGCTCACTCCATTCACTGTGCCTCCAACTGACAGCAGAGTCTTCAGTGCTGGATTGCTTCATAGCAAAAGATGTAAAAACCAAATATCATTTACAGTCTGTCTCATGGGAACATCCCATTTTTGTGTTATACATATTACAGATTGAACTAAAATGTGGTATTTGGTTGTTTTTTTTAACATTAAGTAAAATGTACAGTGGAATTATTGGTGCCTGCCATAGAAATAACGCAATGCAGGAAACAGTTTGAACTGAAAACAATGTAATGGTTTCCTCCCAAATCCACAAAGAAGGCAGAGAGTAAAGGGTGTTTTTAACTTATCTCTGACAGAAAGTGCTGCAAAAATCCTGAAAATTCAAATGAGACCCGACCCTCATGTCAGTTATGGTTCAAGAATGATCTTTTTTTATAGTTTTGGCACAACTGTTTGTTTGAGGCTTACTTTTAAAGATTTTTTTCTGTCTGTGTAGAGCTTCCCCCGTTCTTTTAAACGAAACACAAAAACGACTGTGGCAACTTCAGCGGATTATAAGTCCACTGGCTTCTAAATGAGACAGGAAGTTTCAAATATAATGTAATCTCAGACTGTACAAACACAAAAAAGGTTAAATCATGTCATCTGGACAAGTTTCTTTTTGGGAGAAATGTTTCGTCTTTCATCTGAAAGTCTTCATCAGTCTGAGGCCTGCCAACCCAGATCTGTCTTATAAATAGCACCTCCTTGATGTGTTTCAAGCCAGCCTCCCGTTGAATTCCCAGAAACTGCCTTCAACACGTGCAAAAAGGACCATCCGTCCAAAACAATCGATCATCATCCATAACAATCAAATGTTTTAGGCCAGATGGCCAACTTGCTACTCACAGACAACTCAGGAAACCTGGCCAAAATGGTTCAGATAAAGGTCTGTAAGCTCAATCATCCAGGTAACTACATCACAAAAAATGTTGAATCATGTCATCTTGAGTCCATTGAGCATGGACTTTGCTGTCATCTGGACACGTTTCTTTTAGGGAGAAACATTTTGTCGTTCATCTGAAAGTGAATTAAGTCTTTCAGATGAACGATGAAACGTTTCTCCCTAAAAGAAACATGTCCAGATGACATGATTTATCCGTTTTTTGTATTTACCTGGATGACTGAGCTTACAGACCTTTATTTCAAATTATACTTTTTAATACTCATTTGTTATTGCCTGTGTCTGCCTCAGTCGGTCTGTTAGCAAAATATTTCATGAACCTCTTGACAGGCTTTAATGAAATTATCATTAAGTTAATAAGTTTCTGGTACATATATAACTGGTTAATTCTTGGAGTAAACTCGGTTCAAGATGGCTGACAGCGCTACCTTAGCAACTCGGTTAATTTTACAGACATCAGGCTCAAGTTCGGTGCAGTAGTAGCTGAAAGTCATTCTCGATCGTGTATTTCATGTGCCAGCAGATTGAGTCACGTCTCCAACACTCAAAGTATAAAACAGTTCTGTTCAGGTCCGTTAGTGCAGAACCACAGTCTTTACCAACCAAAGAGCTGTTGGAGTTACAAGCGGTGAAAATTTCAGTTTAGACCTTTCTTTGTGTTTGACGCCGACTTCAGTTTAAAGCCGAGGTGAACATAACTTTAAACTCACTAGCTCTTCAGGCTGTTCAGGCTTGTGTAGAGCTCATTGTCGTTCCACTCCACGGTCGTGATCTGGTTGAAGCTGTTGATGGTGGCCAAGGTGTAGATGACGTGTGTGCACAGGAAGGGGTCGATGTTGTCTGGGGTGAATTTGGCACTCCCGGGTCTGTACTGGGCCCAGTTGGTCATGTGGCACACCAGCTTGCTGGATGAAGCTGAGGATGAGTGGAGAGACAGGCCCAAACAAAACTAAGAGTTCATTCTGTAAAAAACACCCTGGTATGAAAAAAATCTGACTTTTTGTAGATTCTTACCGATGTGCAGAACCAGCAGGAGGCCCACAGCTGCAAAGGACAAACAAGTAAACAGGAACAAGGAGAACACATGAAGACAGCTGTACAGGAGACAGTTCATGCATAAAGTTTCTGTTCTATAAAAAATCATCGTAACTCTTCCTGAACCAAGCCTCATGCACAATTTCTGGCGTCAACTGTTGGAAAATCTCCTTTATGCAAATGTTTGGAGGATTTCCATGTGACACCTCCACTTGGAAAAGCTTTAGATTTTCTAAATCTGGCCATGAACGTGTGATGAACGAGTGAAGTTTACCTGTGAGAAATTTAGTCATTTTTGCTTTCGGAGCTCCCACCTCTGCAGATTTGAAGCCTGGATGAGCAGAAAATGGTGAAACGTTTCAATATGATTATTGAAACTGGTGATTAAATCACAAAATCTATTTCTGACCATGTTTCTGTATCTAATCAGTCTGTTATCAGAAAATGGTAAAACACCATTTAGTCAGTATGAAAACTCATCCAACCTTTTACTGAAGGTCTACACACCACTACTGAGAACTAAAGAAATAAAAATGAATTTTCCTTTAAAAATAATAGCCATAAAAGCTTAGAGCGAACTAGCACACATCCTCACCTGGTGATGGACCTTATTACCTTACGTCCTGATGAAGAGATGTAGAGTCCTGACCTCACTGCAGATGCATCTTATTTATATTATACTCATTAATGACTAATAGAAAGTGGCAAAGTACAGCTGATAAGAGTGTGGTGCGGTGGAAGCTGCGTAACATGATTAATAACCCCACTTCAAAGAATGACCACCAGCCCAAAAGAATTGAGGAAATAGGATTTACTGAGAAATGAGCTGCAGTATCAGATTGGCTGCAGTAATAAGTCTAATCAGTTTATACAGCTTATCTATAAATTAAAACCATGAAGCACAGAGAAGCAATAAAAACAGGTTATGTGTTAAACAGATTCTAGAGATTCAATAAACCAGTGAACTTACTGCGCGAACCAGCGAGCCCCGGATGAATACTGACCCACAAGCAGACAAGACAAGCAGCTGATGTTATTTAAGTTGTTTTAGACAATCAGGAAAAAAGATAAAACTCTGGAAATACAGAATAAACATTTGGTACAAATGGGTCCTGAAAAATGTTGAACAATTGATTATTGGAAAATATTTTTAAAATCTTAGAAATCAAAAGTTTGCTGTTTTGGGCTGAAAATAGTAATAAAAAAGTTTCTAAATCAACAGATTGTTCTGTTTTTTTTTTTTTTCCTGAAAATACTTAGGAAAACTGCTGAGTCATCTCAAGGCTGTAATAAAACTTAGACAACTTTGACTAATAGGCTTTTATAATGTTTATTAATTCTTTTGTACAGTTCCCTGAGACAATGTATGTTGTCAGTTGGAGATATATAAATAAAATGAATAATTCCTTCAGAGAACTTTACTAATTGACTTTTCTATGTATACGGATGTTTCTGTAAAGTGCCCTGAGACAACTTTGTTGTGAATTGGTGCTATATAAATAAACTGAATTGAATAGAATACACTTGATAAAGAAACTGAAAGTTAAACTGGATTTCTTTTTCAGAAACAGATCCTGTCTAACCCTGAATGTTAGGAAACACCTTGTAACTGTGACTTTCCTTCCCTCCATTGATTATGGTGACATTATTTACATGAACGCTCCTACAAGAACCCTGCAGATGTTGGATGCTGCAGATGTTGGACGCTGTCTATCATGGTGCACCAAGATTCATAACTGGCTGTAACTACTGCACCCACCACTGCACCCAGTATTCACTGGTTAACTGGTCATCATTAACTTCACACAGACTCTCTCCCTGGTACATTTTCATCTTTAAATCACTTCTTGGTCTGCTGCCTTCATATATTTCCTCTTACATGTCACTGCATGAGTGCAGCCACAGCGTGCGCTCTCAAGACATAATTAGCTGCAGCATTGCACAGATGAGATGAGCAGTTTTCAGGTATTCCAGGTTTTTATGATCAGTCCAGACTTGGGAAGGTTCTTTGGCGCCTTCTAGTCAGTGCCTCCACTCCTCGAGGGCCAACTTGACCACCAGTAGCTCACGTTCACCAACATCAGTTTTTTTTTCTCTCCCTTGTCCTGTCCGGCATTGCGACACTCAGAATTATTGTCTGAGTGTCAAAGTGATGCCCAACAGATTTACTTTCACAAGCAGATCATTATGGCTGGCCTTAATGCTCCACTTCGTATATAAATAAAACTTTATTAGAATTTGCTTTGGGCTTGTTTCAGATGTAATGGACACGGGGACGGAAAACAAAGAAGATAAAGCAGAAAAGTGGGAGAAGAGTTAAAAGTAAAGAAGGAGATAGGAATAGAGGAGAGAGAGAGGGATAAAGAGAACACAAATCAAGATCAGTGAAGTCTGACTCTAGACCTGCGGAAAGAAAACAAAAAGACACAACCGAGAAACCACAACAACAAACAACATATATATATATATAATAATACTTATAACATCATTAGAACGTATTTTATACAGTACATGGTAATACAAGATATATTTGATGGCCACCACAACCCAATTGGTTGTGTATCTGATAAACACCTGAATCTAAACACCTTTGTGAGCATGCTTGTCACTATAAAGTTTCTCATAAAAATGTTCAATAGTGGATGTGGGGACCCACAGACCTGTCCACACAAGACACGATGGTAACACAAGGAAGACCGGAGCCACAGATACACAGCGACCTCCAAGCCGGGAACTCCGGGAGTCCCCCAACAGGGACAACCGCAACCCCCAGAGAAAAGCAAAGGGAAGCCCCGGTCAATCCCCAGCAACCACAATGCAGAAACTCCAGGAGGCTGCAGCGACGAGTCCACAGGCCCCGCCGGCAACCCACCCCTCCAGAGTAGATCCGGCCATGGACACCAAGCCCCGAGTCCCGAAGTCATACCATCCCCCAACAGAGGCCCGACAGAGCCAGGGCACCCAGGCCCCAGCAGGCAGCGACGAGGACGGGCTGGCACACACCCCACCACCCAGTCCTAGATGCCGAGAGCCGGCAATGCCCCGGCGGCAGGGGGGACCAGACTAGGAGAGGGGACCACCTATAACCCAACCCGAGACATAAACAAGCAAACAGAGACAGCCCAACAGAGCCTCTGTCGGGCCGTCCATGCGCCCCACGCACCTGACAGCGACCGCAAGCCGGCCTGAGGCCGGGGGCCAGAGCAACAGGGAGCAGCAGCTGAGGAAGGCCAGCCCAGCGCACCAAGGACCATGCACCCCAAAAGCCCCACACCATAGCCCCGGAGAAGCCCCGGCACGCCACCTATGCACCCCCCCCACCATGCATACAGCACTGCCCACCGTGAATGTCACACCAGGCCGACCAGCCAGCGCCCTGTCAAAGCAAAGCCACACCCCCGACCGACGCCATACACCACCAATGACCACACATGCACAACCACAGCTGACACCCCTGCCGGAACCCAGCAGCTACCCCAGCTAAAGGTCTGGCCATCGCAACCAGGAACCTTGATCAAAATATCCGAACAACCCAGGGAGAACCGGAGCATCGGCCACATCTCATATCACCCCCCAAGGCCCAGACCCCAACCAGGAGGCCTACTCCTCCTCCCTGCCCCGACCCCAAATGTCAAACAAAGAATGGGGGTATAAGGGAAAAAAAAATAATATATATATATATATATATATATATATATATTTATATACATAATTCATAGGAAGACCCCACACCTCCCTCCTCCACTCAAGTAAGGTGTTGATGCATGTTGTTATATAGTGTGTTTAAAATGGGGGGGGATGAGGTGGTGACCGGCACAGACCCACCCCCTCCCCAGAGAGCAGGTAGTGCCCATTCACCTACCCAACCCTTGCCCAGAACCCTAAATGGCTACATATGAGAGTGGGCACAGGTCCCAGAGGTGAGAATGATTCCACATCCCACCACCTATATGCCACCGTGTGCCCACTCCAGACCCTATAAATGTATGTGTCATGAGATTGTTATATGTGAGTGTCTAGGTTGTATAATAAAATTGGGGTCCAGGTCTCCACGAACCATGGAGATGGAGGATCCTCCCCCCAGCTCAGTAGTGCACCTGAACCCCAAGGCCCTGTTTGAGTGGTGGTGTGATGGAGTGGGCGGAAAAAGATGTCGGGATGGGGAGGAAGAACTGAGGTGGAAATGCCCTCCCAGGGGGCCAGCTCCCCCACTGACCCCAATAGGCACCCCCCATTCTCCGAGATCTACCAGGGGGGGGGGGGGGGGGTGTCCCCTTATCCAATATTGGGACCATTAGCCAATACATCCATCCAGGAGTAGGAGCAGCCGCACCACCAGGGACCCAGGTCACGGACAGGCACATAGCCTCGAGGACCGACCAGAACTGGGGCAAGTAACCCAACCCCCCCAAAACCGTTCAGATCCCCCAACCCAATCCCCAGCTCAACACCCAGCCCCGTGACTAAAGAAGCCACCAAATTGCAACAATGACAATTAGCCCGGAGTGCCCAAACAGCCACAGATAGTGCACCACGGCAACTGAGGGCGCACCCCCACCCCCACAAAGGAACGAACCAGTCCACCACAGTAACACCCACAATAAGAGTGCCCCACGCAAGGGAGGGCACACACCGAACAGCCCAGACACCCCCAGGCCAACAATGCAGAGCCACTCGAGCGAGATCCCCCAATATACCACCCATCCACAGCTCCCCACAGTCCAGACCCCCAGCCAAGCACCAGACCACGACCACAGCAAGGCAAGAAGACACCCAGGCTGAATCCACTCGTCCCCTCCCATGGCCCACCCTCCACCCACCAACAGGATCACCCCCCACGGTAGAGGCCCCAAAGCCCACCAACGCACCAAGGGCCCCCAGGCCAGGGCCAGGCGCCGGCGTATGCACCAGCCCAAGACCCTGAGAACATACCCGCCAAGACCCGAGACCCCCGGGCCAAGCCGGGACCCCAGCCCGGGAGCGACACTCCCCCTTTTCCAAAATGGAACTCATAATTGTGTAGGCACAGTGTTTCAAAATGTGGCTTCAGAACTAAACAACCATTTAACCCACAACATTCCAAATAGTTCCTAAAACAACTTGGACTTGGCCAACTTGGCCCATATCAAAGCTACCATCACCAACATCAGCGAGGACCCTCACCAATACGCATATCGCAAGAATCGATCAACAGAGGACCATCTCCTCTGTGGTCCACACTGCTCTCATCCACCTGAAGGACTCTTACATTTGTATGTTCTTTGTGGACTTCATGTCTGCCTTCAATACCATGATTCCCCAGACCCTGATGGACAAACTACTCACACTAGGACTAAACCCCTCCATTTGCAACTGGGTCCTGGACTTCTTAACCAACATACTGCAGTCCGTGAGGATTCACAACTTCTCCTTCACCATAACCCTCAGCACTAGCTCTCCCAGAGCTGTGTGTTGAGCTCCCTCCTGTTCACTCTGCTCACGTATGACTGCACACCTACCCATCCAGGCTGTCGCATTGTAAAGTTTGCAGACAATACAGTGGTGGTTGGACACATCACAAACAATGAGGAGTCCAGCTACAGGCAGGAGGTGGAACACCTGGAGAGCTGGTGCAGGAAGAACAGCCTTCATATCAATGTGAAGAAGATGAAGGAGATGGTCGTGGGTTTCAAACGGAACAAACACACCTACCCCCCTCCCCACCCCCGCACATAGACCTGCAGTGGAAGCGGTCTCAAGTTACAAGTCCTTGCGTGTGCATGTGAATGACCTCATCTGGGGCAACAACACCACCAGCCTGATGAAGAAAGATCATCAGAGACTACTTCCTCAGGCAGCTGAGACGAGCTGGTCTGAGAAGCTCAGTCCTCACCTCCTTCTACAGGTGTGCAGTGGAGAGCATCCTGTGCTCCAGCATCAACGTGTGGCATGGAGGCTGCACAGCTGCAGAAAGAAAAGCTTTGCAGAGAGTGGTGAAGGCTGCACAGAAGATGTTGGAGTCAGTCTCCCCACCATCACAGACATGTACACCTCTAGATGCAGGAAGAGGTCCACCTGCATCATGAAGTACCCCACTCACCCAGCACACACACTTTTCGCCCCACTCCCCTCAGGAAGGAGGTTGAGGAGCATTAAGTGTAGAACCACTAGACTGAGGAACAGCTTCTACCCTGAAGCTGTTAAGACTCATGAATCTCTAACCAGAATTATCAGTGGAAAAAAAATCTCTGTAATGACACTTTAATTGGAGATTTGACACTTATCTGTGCTGCTGATCGTCCATGCTGCCAATTTCTTACACATAAGCTGCTGTATTCATTCCCATCTGCTCACAACAGACTCATGTTCAGGCTGATGCTTAATACACCATCTTATATTATATTATTACTGTTTAACGTGTATCTTAGATCCTTGTACACTGATTCTTTTTTCATTTTTGGGTGTAACTGGGACCTTGAGTGCACGATTTTGTTCCATCTCATGTACCACGTGATGTGAATGACAATCAACTCACCTTGAACCTTATCTTATAAAAAATAAACAACTGGTGTAAAACATTCAGTAAACTATCAGTACTCATATGACAACTACTCAACCTCCACCTCCTGCCCACACCACCCAAAGTAAATAAAAAGGGAAAAAGAAATAAATACAGACGTAAAATTGAGTAAACTTTTTAATCAAAGAGTTTCAGTGAACTTTCATTGCCTATTTTGTGAAAACTGGTCGATTGTTGACATGCAGTGCTATTTCTCAAGTAAAAAAAAATCATAAAAGTTTGAAGTAAACTTAGATTTCTATCAAAAGACAGGATATGAGTCAATAAAACTGAACAAAAGACAAACTGAAATTTTCAATGTTTTTACACATTCAAATGAAGCACATTAGTAAATTACAATCACGTGATTTCATTCACTATATAAAGTCTTTCGATCATTGCTAATGGTTTTCAGGCACAAAGAAAACAAGGCTGGAATGGGCATTTCAGTAAAGAAAAAACATCTCTAAACTTTTAGGCAGCAAGTGAACCTAAAATCAGTCTTCAGAATGCGATTTACGAATCAGTCCTCGAGTAAACAACAAATAAAAACATTACTAAACATTAAGGCTGACGTAACAGGAAGCAACAGTTTCTTCACACAAACTGCAGGAAATCAGATGTTCCATAAAACAGGCTTCCAACACAACTTTACATTTCAAAGATTTCTACATTTTCAGGATGATTTTGATCCCATTTCTAGAAATGTACATAAAATAACTTCCTACTCGTCTTAAATTTAACTGCAAGTCAAATCATGATCTGCTGTGTCTCCTGGGGGGTGAGCCCTGATGAAACCTGTTGTGTTTGCAGATGTTCTCAGTCACCAAGTTAAAAACTAAATCCATGAGCTCCAAACTTGATGGAAGCAAAACATCAGAAACACACGCGAGGCCTGGGGCCACGGCTTTTAGAAAAAAGTGGCCACGCTCTAGTTAGTCGAGGAGTTTGTGTACAACTCAAATTTTCTATTTTTAGAATATGGGACAGAGATTAAACGTTGAAAAGATACATGTGTTTCCATTCTTTTTTCTGTTTTTCACATTCAATCAAATGTGGTAACAATAAAAGTCAATTTTATTACAATGCAAATGTTTTGTGTAATTGAGAGCTTTGGTAACTTTCATTTCTCCTCGTGAATCAGCTCATGAGCAGGAAAACAACACAAAGACTTTTTACATTACAGCTAAAGTGTCAACATTCATTTGGAAATAAAGTTTGCTGGAAAGGCAGATGAGAAAAACAAAACAAAGCATACAGACATTTGCAAGAAATAAAAAAGACCCTTTGTCTTAAAGGCTCATGTACATAACATGAAATGTCTCTGCGCCACATATATTACTTAATAATAATAATAATAAAAGCATAAAAAGGAAGAATGAATGTTTAATTTCTCAGCACAAAAAAGAACAGTCAGCATTTAGACTGTGAGCAACAAGGTCCACTGAAGGTAATAAAAACACGTGCTGGACGAACAACGTGCAGATACAACTACAACAAGAGGTGCGCCAATGTCCCGTCACTGAGGGATTTAAACTGTGAATGTTTGTAGTTCTTGAGATGAGTGTTTTTCTGGACTGGAATTGAACAGAGAATGAAAGAAACCTAAATGTTTTTGGTGCAAGATGTACAAGAGGGGAGGAGTTACACTGTAGAACAGTTTGTGTGACGGACCCTGGAGAGTGGAGGGTACAGTGGCCGACGGGTGCAAACGCGCAGCAAACACATGATGCAAAGTCAAAAACACGCAAACACAAACAAAATGCAAACACAAAATATAAACACAAACACAAAAAATCAAATGAAAACACAAACAAAAAACACACGCAAACACAAATGAACATGCAACAAACAGAAAAACGCTGCAAACAGTGAAGACACCAGCAAACGCTCCACAAAAACAGAAGTGCTCCAGACCACTAGGGGCAGTAGAACAAAGAACAAATCATAAAAGAAACTTGGAGGAAGAAAGACATTTTCCAACCACAAATAAATCTCTCAAGAAGAAGAGGAAGAAAGAAAATGTTAGTTTATACTTTATTCATTCAAACACGCAGAATTTTACAATAGACCCTTTTCACATGACGTCAGACAACTGACGTTCTGACTCGATGTGGATCAGTACTTCCTGGTCTATTCTCCCTCGGGAGACCTGTCTGTAAACTTCACGGAGTTTCATTCATTCAACCTTTATTTATAGAGGTTAAATTTCAAGATATAGCACAAGGTAAGGTTAATAAAAACAGTATTTAAGTGTTAGTTAGCTGTGGTAACGTTATCCATATTTATCAATTTACCATTTTTTAACTGTGTCAGGAAACAGCCTCCGATTGTAAAGTAAGCTAGCTGCTAACAGGAAGCTAAACTCTACACTGCTGCTGCTGTCAGTGCTGTAACATTAAAATGTTTAACTTTATCTATTAATGTAAAATCTCTGACATCTTCCAACACTGTTGTTTAGAATAGCATGTTAAATATTGAATTAAAAACTATATGTCAAACCATTTCCATGTTCTGATGATTAATAATTTCTCGTTTAACTTTCTTCTTGTGTCCATCTTTCTCAGCAGCAGCTCATCTGACCAGCATGACACGGTCATCAAGACGTTGTTGCAGTGTGCCATGTTGTTCCAATAATAAACAAAAAACACTGTATTTGAGTTTCCACGATTTTCCCGTGGCCAAAGAAAAACGTTCCCGTTGGGTGAGAGCGATCAGGAGAGATGAAGGGCCATTTTTTAAAATCCTTTGTGGGAGCACCCATGCAGTCTGCACTTTGCCCCAGAAGATCTAAATCCATCAGCCAGTGGAAGAGCCCGGATCAGACAATGAGCGGTGCCATCTAGATTTCACTGGAATTTTTATTTTATTATTTTTTCTTCTTTCGGCTGCTCCCTGTGTTAGGGGTCGCCACAGAGAACTGGTCGCACAAAGACTTGGCAGTTGTTTTTACGCCGGATGTTCTTCCTGACACAACCACAGACACCGAGCTACCACAGCCTCTGTGTGGAGCAGAGAGCTGCTGTCTAAGACACCCGGAGGAGCAGGTGGTGGGGGTTAAGGACCTTGCTCAAGGGCCCAAAGTGGGACGAATGAGGGTGAGGGCAGGTGTGGGTGCTTCACCTACCCCACCCAAATTTTTGATGATGTCGGTACCGATCACAGGCCCACCTTCTCTAACCTCTGCACCACCACTCCCCTAGTTTGCTGGTGTTTCCACTGTTTGCAGCGTTTTTCTGTTTGTTGCATGTGTTGCAATTGTGTTTGCGTGTTTTTTTTAGTTTGCGTTAAGATTTTTTTGTGTTTGCATTTTGTTCGTGTTTGCGTGTTTGCTGCGCGTTTCGCCGTTTGCTGCACGTTTGCACCCGTCAACCACCGTAGGAGGGAGACATTTTATCCACCACTAGGTGCAGTAGAGGAGCGAGAGGGTGGCCAGTGGTGGCCTTGGCCATCATAGATTAATCTTCAGCCATCCCACTGATTTAAGGAAACTATATTTCTAGCAATATAAAACTATAAAGCCTAGTTTCCTCAAATAATGGGGGGGGGGGGGGGGGTACATATGTATACATTATATACAGTGGTGTTGATCTTGGATTTTAACAAGTCAACCCAGTTTTCAAAAGGAATCTGTCTAACTCCTAGATGTTCCCACACACCAAAGTGGAAGTTGGTACATTAATTATTTTCAAGTTATCCAGGTCCAAACATGCACTGATGGACAAATGGGGGATGTCCCCGAACACCCCCCCCCCCTTCACTCAGTGACGGGGGACAAAATCATTGGGCTTAATGTTGGACAGACATGTGCGCACGCACGCACGCACGCACGCACACACACACACACACACACACACACACGCACGCACACACACACACGCACGCACACACACACACACACTGTATGTTTGCTCTGATGTTGAGACGATGCTGCATCTAGAATTCCCCCAAATAATTTCCTGTTCTCACTCGTCAGAACAATCCAGCTCAGTTTCATTGAGCTCATGGGGCTGCCTTTCAGGGAGAATTCAACACCTGCTAACATCTGAAGTGTGAGATCATCAGTCTGATGAGCTCTGCTCCCCATACGGCATGGTTTATACCGTCTGCAGTGCACCCCCCTCCCCCCTTGTTTTTTTAACATATGAAATGTGATAATTTAACACTAATCTGAGTGCTCTGAAACTCAAACCATCTCAGGTGATTATTTGAACAAAAACAAGTCCACAAGGTGAACTGGATCACAGGTCTGACAGCAACACCAAGATGAAGAGGACCAGTCCACTGAGGAGGTGGGGAGGGGGTGTCGACAAAGTGGAGACATTCTTCTGCACCATCATCCCAGTTCCTGACAACCAAACCAAACAAGTTGTTTATTTTTTAAACTTCCACGCCCAAAATTACATAAAGACAAAACAATGAAAATCTGTAGTACCTGAAATGACTGAGCAAGTGGTGCAGTCTAAACTATTAAATAATAACACATTACAAATAGTTTGACACCAACTTATCTTATAGAGCAATTATTCATATTTATTTTCATCAAACATTTTAAAGACAAAAATGCAGCCCTCATCCTACTTGAAGAACTTTAAATCCTTTTTGTCCAACTGAAACATTAGAAGTAAAGTTGTTCCCATCCAATGATGAAATTAATTCTCTGCATTTGACCTATGACACCTGAGAAACACCCAGGTGGAGCAGAGGGGAGCTATGTAAGTGCCCAGGGAGCAATTAGGGAATAGGTGTCTTGCTCAAGGACACCATGACATGTGGGCATGGTGGGGAGTTGAACCTGCGACTTTCTGGTCCCAGGTTGGCTGCCCTACCTCTACACCATCTCTGGATTTTTCAGTGTTGACATTTTATTGACCTGATGGAGAAACAATTACAGCAGTCCCTCGTTCATCGTGGGGGATCCGCACCCTGAAGACCCGCGATAAATGAAAAACCGCAAAGTAGTAATATATATATATATATATACAGGTATATATACAGACAGTATATATATATATATATATATATATA